ATAAAATACTGGAAACACACACTTGTAGTTCAAAGCAAAGCCCTAACACGTGGGCAAATTAAACTCAAACTTTAAAATCTCAATCTGATCTCCAGTCTATACTCATAATCGATCTATATCTATATCTATCTATATCTATATCTATCTATCTATCTATCTATCTATCTATCTATCTATCTATAGTATATATTATGGCAATTCAAAAGTAACTTCTTGCCACATAAGCACTTGGAGAAATAACAAGTTGCCTAGGTGGACATTTTTTTACTAACAAAAAAATTGATATTACGGTGGTACTTGACCCAAGGCTATAATAGTCATTTTGATTTTTGGGAAGAGCGGGGTGTAACATCGTTGCTGTTTAGCTCTCCAAGAAATGGGTGCACCCCCCAGGCTGATGAGGTAACCCGTCGTGGAACGCCGAGTACGCTGACATCCCCCTAGTCTGTATCACAGTAAGCAGTGAGTTGCAGAGAATTAGAGGAAGGGAAGAAAATACCTTGACCAGGACTGGATTTAAGGTAGCGAAGTACCTGATATGTCGCATCCAGATGCATCTGACTGGGTGTCTGTACGAAAAGGCTAAGTATATTTACTGCATATGTAATGTCCGGGCGAGTGATCTTGAGATATAGCAATCGACCTACTAACCGCCGATAGAGCGAAGGATCCGGTAAGACATCAGCAGTGCTACGAGTAAGCTGGTGGTTATGCTCAACAGGAAAAGAACTTGGACGAGCTCCCAAGGTACCGGCGTCCTCCAGTATGTCAAGAACATACTTTCCCTGACTAAGAACCACACATGCAGCAACTCGAGCTATTTCAATGCCCAAAAAATAACGAAGCTGACCCAGATCCTTTATACTAAACTTGGTATCGAGAAAATCCTTGACACGTGACATGAACGGGAGATCATTCCCTGCCAGAAGAACATCATCAACGTATATAAGGGCTGTGACAAATGTGCTCCCCTGCTGATAGATAAACAAAGAAGCGTCAGCCGGTGAGGAACGAAACCCGAACTCGCTCAGTGTCGCGGTAAATTTCTTGTACCAATTACGGAGGCCTGCTTTAGCCCATACAAAGACTTGTGGAGACGACAAACACGTGTCTCTCCAGGCTGTCGAAATCCCTGTGGGATCTCCATGTACACTTCCTCATCGAGGTCCCCATGAAGGATTGCATTGTTGACATCGAGTTGATGTAGATGTCACCCTTGCTGACAGCGACAGATATGAGACATCTGACTGTGGCTAGCTTCGCGACAGGTGCGAAGGTATCATGAAAATCCAGCCCCTCTATTTGAGTGTACCCTTTCGCCACCAATCGCGCCTTGAAATGCTCGATACTACCATATGGATAGTACTTGATCTTGTATATCCATTTGGCAGCAATAGTGCGTTTTCCTGGTGGAAGTGACACCAAAATCCACGTTCCATTGGCTTCCAATGCCTCGATTTCCTTGGCCATGGCAGCGCGCCATCGTGGGTCACGCATCGCCTGAAGGAAAGTGGTAGGTTCTTCACCCCGAGTAATGGACACGAGAAAGCACAATATTCTGATTTAAAACCATCGGATGAAACAAAAGACGTAAGGGGATAAGTAACAGTAGAAGAGGTGCTTCCCTTATCTCCGGGAAGATTGGTATCATAGTCAGCAAGGTACTTCAGTCGTGTTCTTGCTTGATCACCGCGGTAAACGGGAGGCGCGACGACAGCAAGATCTGGAGCAAGCGGGTTGACTAGGGAGGAGCTGGAGCTCGTGTTCTCTCCATGTGAGGGAGAGGAATCTGTATGCTGGGTGACAGAGTCTCCACATGCGGCTTCATGCCGGGTCATGGATTCATCACGCGAGCTGGGTGAAGAAGGAGAGGGCGACATGTTCTCAGTGGGCACCGACGTCTCTGCCTGAGGAGATTGATCATGAAAAGGTGAGGCATGATCATCATTCAGCCTCCCCACCTGTCAAACAGACTTCTCAAGGCTAGAATCAAGTTGAAAAGTGGGTCGAGGAACCCAGTGAAGTTCCTGCTGCATGCCGTCCTGGAAAGGAAAGCTCTTCTTATGGAATTGGACGTCCCGAGAAGTGATGACACGCCGAGTGACCAAATCGCGTATATACGATAACCCTTTTGAGAAGTGGCATAACCAAGGAGCACCCCGGCACAACCTCGTGCGTCAAACTTGCCAAGGTGGTTATGCGTGTCCTTGTGGTATGCTAGACAACCAAAAATACGCAAGTGATGATAAGCAACAGGCTTACCAAATAGCATCTCGAAGGGGGTCTTTCCTGTCGCAGTGGTTGGTAACCTGTAAATAAGATAGACAGTAGTGAGAATGCACTCTCCCCAAAACCGAAGAGGAAGACTGGCTTGAAACCGCAAAGCTCGAGCGGTGTCAAGAATATGATGGTGCTTGCGCTCAACGACTCCATTTTGGTGTGGAGTGTCAGCGCAACAGGTTTGTAAGAGAATCCATGTGTGAGTATAGTAGTCTCGTAATGACTCAATGTTGAATTCAGCTCCATTATCTACCTGAATTTGTTTAACGGCCTTCCCAAACTGGGACCGAACCATCTGGCAAAACTGTAACAAATGGTGACTTGCCTCGGACTTATAACGAAGGAGGTAAACCCAAACCCCATGTGTGAAATCATCAACGATAGTCAAGAAATAATATGCACCAAGTTAAAGAAGCGACTTTATAACCTCCCCAAAGATCCACATGAATGAGCTCAAAACAACTAGTTCTTTTAATCGTACTGTGCGGGAAAGTAGAACGTGACTTTTTGGCCCTTGAACAAGAGTGATAGGGTCCATCATTATTCAAAGACAAAGATAAAGACAATATGCTGCCAACATAAGAAAGCTTCTCCAGTGAGGGATGTCCCAGGCGAGCATGCCAATCGACTTCTGAATCCATACCCCGTTGCTGAGCTGCGCAAGCATGCGCCCTCCCACGCCCAAAAAAACGTAAGTAGTATAAACCATCCTTGAGCTCACCCTTCCCAATCAACTTCTTGGAGAGTAAGTCCTGAATGACGCAAAATCCATCAAGAAAAATCAAGACAACACGATTATCTCGAGTCAATCTGCTCACTGATACTAAATTACACCAAAATTTAGGGACGTGGAGGACACGCCGCAGAGTGAAGCCGGGTTGTAACTCAACTGATCCAATGAGTGTAATCGGGATACTTGCCCCGTTTGGAATACGAACAGGTTGATTATTAACTCGTAATTTCGTACTTGACAGGAGGTGCTCATGCATAGTGATATGCTCGTTGCACCCAGAATCAAGTAACCATTCAGAACTATCATAGATGTTACATGCCATATGAGCTGCGGGATCATCCGAAGAATGATCGGATAGCTTGAAGAACTGCTTCAGCTGCTGAAGTTGGGCGACTGTGAATCCAGCCACCGGACTCTACTCAGCTTCTACTTGAGAGGCTTTGGGTTCGCAGCTCAGTCCATCACGACTGCCCTCGCCAGCACTACGACCACGATGCTGGCCGCGATCTCCTGTTTTGTCGCGAGAACGTCCCGATCACGATCACGATCGCTTGTGGATACCAGATCAATTCCTAGCATGTTTCACGAATATGACCCTGTTTGTTGCAATGAGTACAACAGAGCTTCTCGCGTTCACCGGTCCCACGTTCTCGATCCCTTGACATGTCAGGGTCACTTTGAGTAACGAAGGCTGCGGCCTCAGGCTGAATTTTGTGGTCTGTGTGATGAGCTTTTGTTTTTCTGCATTTAGAATAATGCTAAATGCCTCACCTAGACTAGGAATAGGTTTCATCGCCAGAACTTGAGTGCGAACACCTCCAAACGCCTCGTCGAGACCCATAAGAAAATCAAAGACTCGTGCACTTTCTTGTTGTTCACGAGCACGACGTGAAACGCCACAAACACACTAGGCGCATGTACATATAGGAGGAGGAGTGATTGCTGAAGCTTCCTCCCAAAGTGCCTTCAAGCGCGTGTAAAAGGTCGAGACATGCCGCTTCTCTTGTTGAAGAAGCGAGATAAGGCGGCGCAATTCATATGCGCGCGCCGAACTTCCTTTGCCAAACCGCTCTTGCAGGTCCACCCAAATAACTCGAGCACTCTCCACGAACCGAATGCTACTACGGATCTCTTTGTCCATCAAAGTTTTCAACCAGCCTTTGACCATGGCGTCACAACGGACCCAAGCTCCCCGCGCTGGCTGATCGGCAGGCTTGACGAGAGTACCATCCACAAAACCATATTTGTTCTTAGTGAGCAGGGCGTCCTTCATGTCGAGGACCCATTCGCTGTAATTGGAGGCAGTTAAAACATCACCCACGAGCATGTTGCCCGGGCCATCAGACTTATGCAGTTGAAGTTCGTTGGGCAACTCATCCTCCGACTTCACACCGCTCGAGGTTGGCTTCTTCTCATTGTTCTTCACAACGGAACTAGCATCGTCGGCGTCACTCATGATGAAGCGTCAATATCAGTGGGAGCTTAAAGCTCTGATACCATGTAAAATTGTGCGGAAATATAAATGGGACTTTGATTTACGTAGTTCTTCCTCACGGTGTGTGAGGCTTACATCCACGGGAAACCTTCTATCACTTTATTGATTGATTGATCGGCTTGGTATAACAAGCCGTCTCTTTATACCCTATGTTACAATCATCATCTAGGGTTACAGAGTTTGAGCAGGAGACGGAATGAGTGGCCGATGCGGACGTGGGTTGTGTTCGTGCATGGGCTGCATGCCTTTCGTCTGTTTTCCTGTACTTTTACTTCTCACGGGTACAATAGGATTGTCGATTGAATGTCCTTGACAACTCGACTATTAGTGAACTGCCACGTTGGATTGGTTGTTGTGCTTTTATCAGATGTGCCTGAAAGGAAGGTTGTTGTGCTTCAACACTTATCTATGACAACAACAAAAATCCGTGGCCGTGGAAAAGAAAGCAACAAGGTCACGGACAGAGGTGTATCAACGCCACCACAGTCCACATGTGTGTATATATATATAATTATAAACAATAATTCAGTAAACATGTTTTTCATCCTTTTTCTCTCTTTCAATTCTAGCTGTTACCACCACCAGTCCCCCCACCATAAATAAATATTAAATAGCTCCCGCACTAGCTACTTAATCCTCGTTAAATAAGTCCTTCTTTTTGATCAATAGGGGTTAAAGAGAGAAAAAAAACCCCACATAGAGATATATATTATAAAGATGGGGCGCGGAGGAGAGGAAGAAACGGCGGCGGCGGCGCTGAGCGCACCTTTGATCGGAACGACGGCGGCGAGAAGCGAGTTGGGGGAGGAAGTGAAGAAGCAAGTATGGCTGGCGGGGCCACTGATAGCGGTGAGCTTGTTGCAGTACAGCCTCACCCTTATATCGGTGATGTTTGTGGGCCACCTCGGAGAGCTCAGCTTGTCCTCTGCTTCCATGGCCACTTCCTTCGCCTCCGTCACCGGCTTCAGCTTGTTGGTATGTAGTTGATTTCCTCTCCTTTTCCTAATTTTATCTCCTCCATTTGAAATTCATGAGTTTCTGAAGCGCCCCATATATCATCAACATTTGTGCTTTTAAGATTTTGCCAACCACTGAATTGAAGCCTAGGATTGGAAACTGGGTAGTAGAGAAAGCACTGTTTGTGAAACCGTAATGGAAAAGTATTTAGGATACTGTTGCTGTTTGATTAGTAGCATATCCTTAGATATTATTATTGTTGATGGGGATGGAGTCGGGATTTAATTTGGACGTCGTGGTCCATATTTTTATTTGTTATCGCAAAAAATTGAAAAAAATGGTGGTATGTTTATAATATAAGAAAAAAGTTGTTTTAATAATCGTACAATGTTATTTGAGATGATTATAAACACTAAAAATATGATCTAAAGTAAAAAATGTGTAACCTGATATGTAGAAAAAAACAATAATTTGTAGTGCTACCACTGTGAAATAAAACTCGTCAATTTTCACTTTAGACCAGCAACATGCACCCTAGGGAAGAAGCAATTGCATTATATAATAATGTACACTTTTTTACTTTAAATAATAATTAGTTAATACCTAATTCCAAAATTCACAATACATTTTACATGTTGTATTCAAAATCCTTGAGAATTTGTGTAGCTCCGCCCCTCATTATTGAACTAAGGTAATAATTTTGATTAAGAATACTAAGATAAATAAATATTACCAATCGGGACATTGATGTGATGCCAATCTTAGCCGAACAGCATATCATGAGTAGCTAGGTTGAGGTTGACGATATTTCACCTATCAATACAGACATTTCTTACGTATGGTATGATTGAGGATACTGTTAATTAGACTTTTTACTTTTTAGACACTTTTTTAATTTTTTTGGTCCAGCCCCCAATGTGACAAAGGTAGAAACGCCAAGGAATGAACTTTGTCGTATTAATTCAAAACGACAAAGACATCCTTATAATTAGTCGGGGGTGGGGGGCGGGCTGTGGATCGACGGGAGAAAGCAAAACGACACATGGGCCCGGCTGTTGGATGGTGCACGCATCTATCAGTGGGCCCATTCTCATCGGGCCGGCTTTGTTGATCCGCGGCTACGTGCCTCCAATAGTCGTAAGTCGTAATCGTAACAGCTTTTGTTTTCTTGTGTTTGAGAGTAAAACGGCAGCCTGCTAAAATCAAAATCTACGCACATTCCCCCACATGCACTTCCAAACCTCGTCTTCCGTCTGCAACTTTGCTTGCTGATTTGATAATAATTAATAAGATTAATATATACTTGAAGATAGCATAAACTTAGGATCATTGACCATGCTATCGCCAAACTTAGGATCATTGAAAAATTAAAATGAATTTAGAGAAATCCACCCAAATTCTCCTTTTGCCATACCTACTAGACTGTAAATAAGCCAAGCCGCTCGCAAGCAACTCGACGTTCGAATTGAAAAAAACTCGTTCGAAATTCGGCTCGATATTTAACAAGCCGACTCGTGAGCCAACTCGTTAGTAAAGAAGCCAAGCTTGAGCTAGACCATGCTCGGCTTGATAAGCTCGTGAGCTAGCTTGACCCGGTGGCTTGTTGAGCTAAGCTCGCGAGCTGGCTTGTTTAGAGCTTGTGGAAGGATTAATTACTCTTCCGAACATGAATATTATTTTTTTAATACGATTGTGTATGGAAATTAACAATTATTTTGAGTTTCTAGTGTTATTTTTACCATTTAAATTCTTATGTTTACACATTTTTCAGCAAGAATGATTTCAAATCGAGCTTATATTGAGCCGAGCTAGTGCTCAGTTTGACAAGCTGTACTAATGAACATTTACCGAGCTCTACTGAGTCAAGCTCGAGCTAGATTATTTATAGTCAAGCCTAGCTCGAGCTGAATTATCAAAATTCGAATTCGAGTCAAACTCGAGCTGAAAATTTTATAAACGAGCCGAGCTCATTTCGTTTGCAACCCTAATCCCTACATATTACTTTCTCATGGGCCAAGATTGTCGTCCAGCTAGCCCCGTCCATATCTCTAGGCCTCAGAAACCATTATGGATCTACAAATTACTATAAGCAAATGTCAATATAAGTGTTTTGCCACCTCAGCCCGTGCTGCTTACGGCTTACCCCGCATACTTCGGATGGGTTAATTTGTCAAATCCCTTCTTCGCTTAAAATTGCAGCCGTTTTTATTACTGAACACGTCAGCCACACACTTGATTGAATTTTTTTTCATACAATCCCACTAACCCACGTCACCTACTAAAATAAAAATCACTGGTTGTTCAATTATTTGATGACATCTTGACAGATGAATTAAATTCGTTATTTCCCTTTTAGTTTTCCTGCTGCATACACTCTTTTTTCACTACTTTTTTATTCCAAATTAAGATTGTTCCAGAGTAAATAAAAAATCAACGTTAAAATAATTATATTTTTTTAGAAAAAAGTTTTGACTTACTACTGTGACTAGAAATGAGTTGGATAAAACGATCCACCACATCCACAAACTGATCAAGACACTGTGATTGTTTTGATAGATGTGGTCGATCGTTTTCTCCAATTCACGCTAACTTAGAAGCATCATAGACGTACCTCAAAAAATTTATCGTGTATTAGAAGATTGAGTTTTTTCTTCTAAAATAACAATGATAGAGATTTGTAGCGGAAGGTCAACCGTAATCCTTTCGGTACTAAATTTCAAGTTACAAAATTTGAAGATATAGTAAATTAATATTAGAAAAATGGAAGGATAATAGTCTATGAACTACTTTCTATCCAAGATGCGAGTTTGATTTCAATATGTTTTTTTAGATAAGGGTGAATTTATTCAATCGGAAAGAAACAAGAAGTTACAAAAGGGAATGGATCAGGTGAGTAACCTTATGGTGAGTAACCATGAGTAACCCGTCCACATCAGCATGAGATCAGCATACTCTCTATCATTGAAAGCCTTTAATTTTTCCCTCTTTAATCTTTTACGGACGATTTCTAGCTCATTTTAAGTCGAAATTTAATTTTTTTTGCACAGTTAGATCAGATTAATTGTGCTCTTCAAAATGATATCCACTTTAATATATTTTTCGAACAAAAAAAATTGAGCCATTTTTTACCAGCCTATACCATATGGTATTGACTGGTATTGAAATAAAAGCATACCTATGTTTTGAAAAACGTACCATGGTGGTATGAACAAACCAATACTGTAGGATGGTTGAATACATGATAGTAGAAGTATATTAATTGTAATTTACGACTTTTAACATTGTGTACCACACAATACCACCCCGTACCAGGGTGGTATTGTATGGTATTGTGTGCTATTTTTTGGTCCTGTAATTTGTTCACCCAGAAATTTGTAGCTCCAATAGATCATGATGAACTCGTCCCTTCTGTGCAAACGTTTTCAAAAACGAATTAAAAACGAAGAAGATACCATACAATACCACCCCGTACCAGGGTGGTATTGTATGGTATTGTGTGGTATTTTTTGGTCCTGTAATTTGTTCACCAAGAAATTTGTAGATCCAGTAGATCATGATGAACTCATCCCTGCTGTGCAAACGTTTTCAAAAATGAATTAAAAACGAAGAAGATATCATATGGTATGCAGTTGGTACCGAGAGGCCAGAATTTTTTTTCTTAAAAAAATATTGAAAATTGATCTCATTTTGTAGAGCACGGTGAACTCGTTCCATCTGTGCAAAAAAAAAAAAATCCGAGTTAAAACGAAAAAGATATGAGTCAATTAAGAAAGCTAGTGAAAATAAAAATAGTCTTTAATTCTCCATCCTTAGATCTGGATTTTCTAAATGAAGGGTCCAAATTTGGTTATTGATGAGTGCATAACCATGGGTTATGCACCCTATCTTGAGCCGTTACAAAATATGGCACGCATCAGATCGCCAGAAGTGTATCCGAAATGGGTCAAGAGAAAAGGAAAGAAAAATTTAGGGACAAGCAAAAGCCCAGAAAAAAACGAGACACCAGCAGGTGCAGCAAAAACAAGAAACAAAAGGAAGCAAATAGGTTTTTAATTGTATAAATTAGAGACACCAGCAGGTGCAGCAAAAACAAGAAACAAAATGAAGCAAATAGGTTTTTAATTGTATAAATTAATATGAAATCATTTCACTATAATAATAGAAATTCAATTTTCAATAGATTGATTAAATAGGTTTTTAATAAGACATGAATTTTTTTTATAAAAAAATTAAGAAAAGAGAATTTCGCTAAAGAGACGGGAGGGAAAAACAAAAAAAAAAATATTAATTAAGACGTTCATACATGGGGGCACTCAAGAATTTGATCTCCATCAACCGATTTGAAAGTCTAGGGTAATTGTTATTATATATAAAAGCTAATTCACATGGTTGTCCTTCAGGTTTATCGTACATGAAATTTATAATTTTTATCTTCAAATCAACATTTTAAACTAAGTTTCGTTGCTTTAGACTTTCACTAAATTGTTGAATGGTAATGATTTATTTAATTAAATGAAGAAGTTTTAACTACTTACACATGCATTAGCAGATAATATACAAATGTAGATGATTTCAAAAAAAATATTAATTGAAAGAAAAAGTATTGCCCGGCCAATCGGCCGGGGTCGCAATCTAGTAAGTACATTTATGGTGCTGACGGTTACGATGTGCAACGGGGTGGTCAGTACAGGACCACATCAGATCAAATCTATGCTTGAACTAGATCGTACAAAAATTTGATCTTTAACTTCATGAATTTTATAATTATTTAAAATATAATAATTTGAAGCGAGATTTGGACCAACTGCAACATTGGTCTAGTCTTTTGTTCTAGGATATCTTCACTATTGAACCTTGTTTCTCATGACTTTGGTCCTATCCTACTGACAGTTGATCCATGCAATTCCTCTTTTTTTTCGGGTTCATATGATCTAGCTGGGAATGTCAAGCGCCCTAGACACGTTCTGCGGACAAGCCTACGGAGCCAAACAGTACCACATGATGAGCATCCACACCCAAAGAGCCATCGTGGTCCTTTTATCCGTCAGCATTCCTCTAACCCTAATATGGGCCAACACGGGCCCAATCCTCAAGGCACTGGGCCAACAGGCCGACATCTCCGCCGGAGCCGGCACGTACGCCCAGTTCATGATTCCGTCCATCTTCGCCTACGGCATCCTGCAGTGCCTCGTCAAGTTCCTCCAGACGCAGAGCATCGTCTTCCCCATGGTGCTCTGCTCCGCCGCCGCGGCCCTCCTCCACCTCCTCCTCTGTTGGCTGCTTGTCTTCAAGTTCGCCCTCGGTATGATCGGCGCCGCCATTTCTATCTCCATCTCCAATTGGGTTAACGTCCTACTCTTGTCGCTGTACATCAAGTTCTCCCCTTGTTGTGCCAAGACCTGGACCGGGTTTTCCCGGGAAGCTTTCAGAGATATCTGGACTTTCCTCAAGCTCGCCATTCCGTCCGCTTCCATGGTTTGGTAATTATTCTAATTAACGTTACATTTCAATTACAGTAACACAAAAAGGTACATGTCAATGTTGTAATTAATTTTATATAAATGGGGTCTCTGTCTTTTAATTTTGTGTTTAATTTGAATGAATGTGCAGCTTGGAAATGTGGTCATTTGAGATGTTGGTTCTTGCTTCTGGCCTTCTTCCTAACCCGGAGCTCGAGACATCTGTTCTTTCCATAAGGTAATGAGATTCCTTGAATCTATAGATCAACTTATCTTAGCCAAATTGTTAGTATAAACGATAAACTAAACTGATACTAAAGTGATACGTGTATTGTATTGTGTTAGTCAACCATATTAATTAATGAATAATAGGTGGAGTTAGACATAGGAATGGCAAATTATCCACCCATGGGTAATTATATCCAAACCCAAGTAGACCCATTGATAATGGGTTGGGTATGGGTGAAGTGCATATGGATTTGGGGGTTTATAGATGGGTTTGGATAAGGTATGAATATTGCTTCCATAATCTAAATGGGTATGGGTTTGGATATGGATATCCATTTACTTGAGGGTGTTTTAACTACACATGCAAAAATTGGACATATTTGTAAAACTTGAAAATTTAGGTACCAAAATGTAAGACCAAAAAAATTTAGGTACCAAAACGTAATTTTCCATCGATATTTTGAGGACTTATATGAAAAAAAATTAATTTAGGTACTAAATATGCATATCTATTAAGTTTGGGTACCAAACTGTAATTTGTATTTGGGCATGGGTACAAACACAAATCCATTTGATATAAATTCAACTCAACCCAAAGTAAATGGGTATGGGTACAAACAAATCAAACTTTACCCATATCCATCTATTTGGATTTCATACCCAACCCAATTGGGTTGGATAGTAAGAAACCCATGGGTATGGGCGAAGTTGCCATCCCTAGTTAGACCAGGGCGGGACACACCAAGTTTTTGAGTAAAAATATAATTAATATAAGATATATATAGCAAATGTTAGCGTACGACTGATGTACACATCTGAGTTAACACGAAATTTTAGTTACTGCACTATAGCTTATTTTTTGTGATTTGATTGTCACTAAACTTATTTATAACACCCTAAACTAAACCCCCACTTACATCGATCCCTAATCAGACTCTCTTCTTCTCGCTTAATCTTACCCCCAAACACAACTCATCAGTTTCGCTGCTCTCTCTTGTATATATTCTCTACCTCTTCGCCAAAGTGCTAACTAAATAGTGTAGACAATGAATGTATGTTATACTTCTTTCATAAATGAAAACATTGTTTATGAAAATGATAGTCGAGTAGTCAAAAAATAAATTTTCTACACATACATTATTTAGATATTTTTATTTTATGGTTAATATTAATATTATTATTATAAAGGGACAGTTCTATTATCAACTCCCAGCTTCGCCACTGAGTTTATCATTATATCATCGAACAATTTTTTTGTTTTTTTGTTTTTTGGTCTATGTAGCCTGAACACAGCAGCAACGGTGTGGATGATCGCCTATGGACTCGGTGGCGCTGTAAGGTTAGTTCATCAAATCATCAAAGATATACTGCACAATGTTTCATATTCCTGAAATGGTTAATCATCAATGTGAGCAGCACGAGGGTGTCGAACGAGCTGGGAGCAGGGCGTCCTGCTCGTGCACGCCTGGCGGTGATGGTGGTGGTCGGATTGGCCGTAGCGGAAGGGGTTTTGCTTGCGGTGATCTTGTTCTCAATACGCAATGTTTGGGGTCGTGCCTACAGCAACGACCAACCGGTGATCGACTATGTAGCTCAGATAATGCCCATTGTTGCAGCTGCCAACTTTCTGGACGCCATCCAGTGTGTGCTTTCAGGTATATATGTTACAACTTACAATTACCACATGTTAGTGTTGTGGTATATGATCCACGATTGAACCTCTCCCAACAACTCGAGTTATTGGGATCAACTGGTTCATGACATGGTATCAGAGCCTTCTGTAACCGAGAGGTTTTGTGTTCGATTCCCGGTGACCCCCATTTGTTAAGCACATGGTATTCTTGTCTTCAGACCTGTGCAAACTTCAAGCCCTTGTAGTGGCTTTCGTTTGAGGGGACGTGTTAGTGTTGTGGTATATGATCCACGATTGAACCTCTCCCAACAACTCGAGTTATTGGGATCAACTGGTTCATGACACCACAGATTAAAGTTGTATAACCAAGTGTTAGCTGTTCAGTCCGTGATATGGGTGTTGATATGATGAATTGAATCCGATTATCTGTCGCCGACTAAAAGTCAAGGGATTTCATTGTTTGGTGAGCGAGTAGGGGGTTCAGGGGCGAAGCGCCAGGTTAGGGAGCTCGGGGGAGCAAGCTAAGGTTCCCACAATCTATAGTGTATTGGGTTAGGTTTAGGATTAGACCCCGTTTAGAAAAGTACTATATATACTTCTCAATCCCTCTATAATCTGGAATATTGTCAAGTATATTGTATAAATGAATCACGTAAATATAAGGGTTTTTTTTTTAATTTTTTACATTATCGATAATACCGATCCGTTTTTTAACGATTGCTTTGTTGTTTTTATGTATCAGGGACGGCTAGGGGATGCGGTTGGCAGGAGATTGGAGCGTATATAAACCTGGGATCGTATTACATCGTGGGAATACCATGTGGTATTTTGTTTGCCTTTGTTCTTCACATTGGTGGAAAGGGTCTGTACGTCGGGATCTTATGTGCTTTGGTGGTGCAAGGAATTCTGCTTGCCATCATTACCATTCGCACCAACTGGGAACAAGAAGTAAGTGTGCCAACACAAGCTTTCATACACGTTTATATGTATGTTAATTACACCAAATTACTCATGGTTTGTTGTTTGCTCTTTTTCCATATTTTGTTTACAGGCAAAGAAGGCTAGTGATAGAGTTCATGATACCACGATGCCGGTGGAGAGATTGTCGTGATAATATAATTGATGATGGGCGGTGATATTAGATGTATGCTATCACGACGACTCGATTTTCTCATTTTTTGTATTGTTTTCTCTTTTCAAAGGATGTTCTGAGAATTGTTGGAGCTGTATTGAAATATAGTGAGATTAAACTTCTCACGTATATATGTGAGTCATTGGATTTGTCTTTTCATATAGGTATAAATTAGTGGCGGACCCATGAATTTTGTATAGGGGTGTCCTCTTTTAAAAAAATAAATTAAATGAAAATAATAATTATTAAATAAGAAAATACATGACTCGTACAAGTTAAAAAAATTCTATGATGTGTTTCATATTAGAAAATAATTGTAGAATATATTTGATGTATACATTGCACAAAAAAAAACATTTATTTGTATATCTACTAGACAATTATTCATGAATTGATCACATATTCGATTTCTAAACTTGTTCTTGATGTAACCCAAAGTTGAAAAAACTCTTTCAACACTTGTCGTACAACCATAAAATCAATACAAATTAAGGCTAGCTTGAAATTAGTTTAATTGTTAGGTTTTGAAAAATATTAGAGATAGGAAATGACATTTTACTATTACGCAGTGTTTAAAATCAAACAATAAATGAGTTGTAGCCTAATGGAAATTATGTTGACTAATAATAATTGTGTCCTAGGTTTGAGTTATTCAAACTACCACTTAATATTCCCATACGCAATTTAAAAAATTTGAGTAGCATAATCATTTTTTTCAAATTTCAGGGGTGTCCCTCAATATCAATTATAAATTTTTTGTCCATACGTAAATTACCATCGGGGGTTGAAAAATAATTTCCCAAAATTTAGGGTTGTCCCCGGACACCCTCAAAGTGCCCTGGGTCCGCCCCTGGTATAAATGGACCTTGTTAGTAAAAGATTTTGGATGGTGTTTCCAATAAAAGACGTGATATGTAGTGTAGATGTGTTTAGTAACGTTATAGTACATGAAAGTTAAATTAACTAAGTCCAATTAGTTGAAAGATGAAATTTTCAAAATATAATAGGTTTTAAGACAAATCCAAGTAAAACATGTCAAGAATGGGACCCGGATAGGACGAGTCAGGGTAGAAATAGTACTCATAACCTGTCTCACACTATTGCGAGTCGAATACTATCCGAGTCGGGGTCGAGTACTACCCTATGAGACGGGTTCAAATTGTCATATGCCCAAGTCATGACATTTTAATATGCGGCAAGCGGATGACATGCATGCTCACAGTAGTGGCTGGGTAGAACAGATTATAGTTGGTGGTGGTTAGTGGTAACTTTGAAAGAGAGAGAGATGGGGAGAGAGAGAAAAGTGTGGTGGGGTGGCTTCGTGATTGGGATACTTAGGAATTAGGATGGCCCGCTTTCAAAATGTGGAAAGAGTGGCCTTTAACCCACTTTCAAAATTATCGTGGTCAAAGGGGCAATTGGCGTGGTGTCCGTTTGTGGCCGCGCTCGCCAGGGGAAAAGCTTCATCTTGAATCAGGTTAGTTCGCTGCCCTCTGGTTCGAGTTCTTTACAGATTTGCCGACTGGAAGGGAAATGCTGTGACGGGTGGAATCTTTCTGGAATGGTGTTTGTAGTTTGGAAGAGAAATAGTCGCTTGTTGTGGCACTCGGGCGCTAATTTTGTTTTTCTAGGGTTTGAGAATTGCTATGGTATATGCATTATCAGTGGTATGTAAAGAATCAAACTTGGTTGAACCTATAATTTGCAACTTGCGGCAAAATCGGTGCCGGTATGTAATCTTTCAATTCTGGCTCCAATATAGGCGCCAAGGGCTTCAGACTTCCAGTTAGAACAATGCAATTACATTCCAAACAATCTCCTGATTGTTTTTCTAGTTTTGAACTGGTCTAGATATTTGATCCGTCAAACACATTTCTCATGTGATTATGTATCTGGTGCGGCGCACTGTCTAGGAGTACTGGAATCACTTGTCATTTAGTTTCATAATGAAGTCGATAGAGAGGAATATACGGGATCGTTAGCTCGTAATGAAGTCAATGGCGGTCTTTTTGACGAATGTAATATAACGATCAAGATTTGAGTCAAAGGTTTGTTACGACTTACGAATATCTATTCTAATATCTTGCTTTGGTTCTGTTTTATGTAGCTCCTTGGGAGGAGTGTTGGATTTCAAGTAGCTTCGACTCATCGGCCGTTTACTAATGGGCTCCGGTTATGTTGTGCTCCCTTAAAGAGAACTGGTCTTGATGGCACAAAGTATAATCTATTACTCCTAGATACTGAAGGAATTGATGCTTATGATCAAACGGTAAGTATCCATCTTTTTAACTCGAGGAATATATATGGCTGTCACCTGATCTACTGTGTCCTGCATTTCTCGTGGATCTGATTTCACTCTATGCCCTTTCAATGAATTCTCTCCCTTCTGCTTCTCACCTGAATAATGCTTTCTTCCCATGTTTTTGATTGCCTGTCCTTTTGGTTTTGTTGACAGGGAACGTACATTGCTCAGTTATTCTCCTTGGCTGTACTCTTATCTAGCATGCTCATCTGTAATCAGGTCAGGCATCTTTATACCGAGGCGTTTTTCCTTTGACATGGTTTTTTCATTGGTTTAGTAAGCATTGCATTTATTTCCAATGGTAGGGCTGGTTCTGAAGCATGTCGTTTGGTTAGTAGTAGGCAGCAACTTGTCCAATATAACCAATAGATTGACATGTTGTCTACATAAGTTCCATGCTCATTGTTAGGGCTGGTTGAACTAGATATCTGGTTTGCTTTTTATGAAATTCCTAGACTTGATCAAGTTCTTCAAATACTTCTGGCATGGGAACTAGACAGCTGGTTTACTTTTACCATATCTTGTGTTAGAACCTTTGGTGTGTGCTGCTTGTTTGAGAGTTTTGCAGCTAAACTGCAAAAATGGAAATTATTGCTGTTTCATCGCAAGACAGAGGGTGTTTATGCTAGACTGCTTGTAGTTATGAATTTTCTCTATAGTTCTTGACACAATCCCATGCTTCATTTTAGTGCTTGCTTAGTCAGCAATATGTTCTTTTACCCTATTGGGTTTGCGAATTTGATATCCTGTTTCAGGTAGTTGACAATGTAAACAAGCTAGCTAGCTAGCTAGCTTGGTGAATAAGAAAAGCTTGAGGAATTCGTGGGACTTTTCCACAAGAATTTGACATCCCCAGGGTCTCCTGCATTTTATTTGCTTTGTCTTGTTTTCGTGCTTCTCTTTAAAGATCCGCTGTTTAGTTTAGGTGCAAAGTTCTTAGTATGCATGCTGTCAGGGAAAGTTAGCTGGCCCTCCCTGGCTCTCAAGTTTAGGATATGGTTGTATTAGGAATTTATTGTAATTTTCTTCCACTTCCTCTTTTGTTATTTCTGTCAATAAATAAAATGTCACCATTATAAAAAAAAAAATTAACTAGAGTTTCGTGACAATTAAGAGATTTAATTGTTACATCACGATACTTTCCTTATGCAGAAGTGTTTATGGCCTCAAATCTCAATGTACCAGTTCGCTTATAGTTGTTTCCATGGTATATTTCATAGATGATAGATGTGATAGTCCATTTATCATTTTCCTATATTGTACTTAGGAGCAGAATGCATATTATGTAGTCGTACTAGGTGTATTTGTTCATGCAATCTTGTTCAGCTCTTCTCGCGTTCCTTGAAAAACAATCAGCGTAGCTAAGCATTTAGGAGCAGCTCTTAGGACACAAAACGTCACTAACACCACCTTGAGAATCATTGTTATTGTTCTCATGAGGCTCAGCCTTGGTGAATGGTGATGACTGAAACCAAGAAAGAAGGAAGCTACACTCTTAGATTCTACGAATTGGTAATTTGGGTAGTAGAGAATCTGGCACCATAATTGTGAGAACGTGGGAAATAGATAAACTGGTATTCAGGTGTTAGACCATCTCCAACAATCACCCTAAAAAGCCTAAAAAGCTAAAAGAGTTCCTCCAACCATCAATGGGAAAATTCAAATAGCCAAAAAAGTCAAATTTTTCGGCTAAGGCTAACTCCAACCCACAAAGTCACATTTGACTCCCCAAATAGCTAAATATTGCTTTTTAGCTCCCCAACCCCCATTTTCACTCCAACCCTACAAAAAGCTAAATTTAGCTTCCCACCTTCATTTTTCAATTTATTTCAATAAACCATACTTATTTGACCTTTAGTTTTTATATTTCACTTTAATTTTTTAATATTTTGTTATTACTTTTGAAAACAAAAATTTTGATGTAATTTTTTTTAAATTCCGAGACAATTTTTTTTTTGTTGAAAAATTAGTAGCTAATCTGTTACCGTTAACTTCGGGACCACTCCAAATATGACCATTTTCTTGTAGCCGTTACTTTAAGACCATCTTGTTTGCTTGTAGATTGTATTGCATGTTTCAATATTAATTTTACTTCTTGTTGCTTGGTTATTTGTATTTCAAGTTTCAGTGTGATTGTATTTCAAGACCGTCTTTTATGGTTGTTAATATATGATCGTTGCAAAGTGATTGTTGTTTCGTCACTACGTAAATTGATTCTCGTTATTATTTAAATCACATCAACAAAGCAACAACCAATCACAAATGAGGAAGGAGAAGGAAACAAAAAAAAAAAAAAAAAAAAAGGGATTTGGCCACATGGAGTGACAAACGTGGGCCTAGTACCCACTTTTTTGCCCAGCCATAAATGGCTTTCTTCCCAAATCCTAGTCAAATTTAGCTCCCAAAATTCCAATACCCATATTTGACTACCTCATTTTTTGTGGGTTGGAGTAAGAAAAAAAGTTATATATGGCTTTTTGGCTTTTTTGCTCCTTGGGTTGGAGCCAGCCTAAAAACCCATTGGAAGAAGACAAGAAAAGCTATAATTGTGGTGGGAGTTGGGCCCTCCTTTCTTCCAGCTAGGCAACGCGCGCAGGCAATCGGAGCCAATCCGTGGCGCGCGTTTAGCGCAAAAATCCCCCCTACGTGTGGCCCAACTTTATTCCCGTTAGAATTCAAACAAAATAGTTTCAGTCAGCCCAACTTTATTGGAAAATTTCCCACTGTACACATGTTTTTAAAAAAAATTCTCAAAATACACACGTTATGAAAAAAATTCCCAATCTACGCATGTTTGGGCCTTCACCGCGTCTGACCAAGGCGGTGATTGAATCACCGCGTTAAAGAAGAGCGGTGATTGCATCACCGCGTTAGACGAAAACGGTGATTGCATCACCGCTGTAGAGGAAAACGGTGAAGGCCTGACCTGCGTCTAATCTTTAAAAAAACGTAACTTTGTGCTCGGTTATCCGATCGTGATGAAATTTTTTTTGATTCCGCATAATTTTTCGAGATCTTGCAAGCCGCAAACATCCAAAGGCGGTTTGGTCCCGCCTTCGTCCCGAAAAAACGTCGTTTGCTACCCCGAATGAGCCTTTTTTCGATTTCGTCAAACTTTGAACGACCATAACTTTGTGCTCCACAATCCGAATATCATGAATTTTTTTTGATTTTGCATAACTTTTTGAGGACTACAATTTTTAGTAGGAGAGAATTTTCAAAAAATGAATTATTTTGGATATACGGGGTTTTGAGAATAAGTTTACCTTTCTTTTTTAGGAATCCAAGTACATTCCGAAATTATGTCTATGATAAAAATTGTAGTCCTCAAAAAGTTAACCACGATCTCGAAAAATTATGCGGAATCAAAAAAAATTTCACCATGATCGGATAACCGAGCACAAAGTTACGTTTTTTTAAAGATTCGACGCAGGTCAGGCCTTCACCGCGACTGTTGAATGCGGTGAAGCTATCACCGTTTTTGTCTACAGCGGTGATGCAATCACCGTTTTTCTCTAACGCGGTGATGCAATCACCGCTCTTCTCTAACGCGGTGAAGCAATCACCGCCTTAGTCTGACGCGGTGAAGGCCCAAACATGCGTAGATTGGGAATTTTTTTCATAACATGTGTATTTTGAGAATTTTTTTTAAAAACATGTGTACAGTGGGATTTTTTTCCAACTTTATTCCCGTTAGAATAAAAAAAATTAGTTTCAGTCACCCAATTAATTACCAACGGCTCTATTAACCCCAACAGCTCTTTTTCATATATTTCTCTATAAATACCTCATATTTCTTCACTTCAACCTCATCTCTTCCAATTTCTTCTCTCATTCTCATCAAAGATCAATTATATCTTCTTCCCAACAAATTAAAACCTATCTTACTCTCAAATTTCTGATCATGTCTCAACCTAATCGCCCACCAAATTGGAAGGAATCCGAAGATGAGGTTTTGTGCAAGTGTTGGATTGAAATTTCGGAGGATGGTGCTATCGGCCATTATCAAGCTGGGACTGAGTTTTGGAGGCGAGTTGGAGTCCTTTTTAATGCTGAAGGATGGGGAATTCCGCGTAGTGATGGAGCCTTGACTTCTCGATGGGCAATCATCCGCCAACAATGTGGGTCGTGGAATGCGGCATTGAGGAGAGCAAGCGTTGTACCAATGAGTGGAGAAAATCTAACTGATGAGGTTAGTTGAGTTTTAATAATAATTATTATGTGTTTGATTTTTTTATTTAATTACGTAGTTTATACTCATAATTGTTACATATGCCTTGATTGTCTAGGTTAAACAAGCAAATGAAATTTTCGTAGCGGACACCGGGAAGAAATTCAAGTTGAACTATTGTTGGGACATACTCCACAACTCATTCTTATTAAAGCTGAATGAACTGTTGATGACACAACTCATTCTGACCAAAGTGAAAGCACAATTGATGGCACAACTCATTCTGACACACATGTGAAGTGTCTATGATCCATTTAAACAAAATATTGTGATTTCGTCATTAATGAAATCATATTTAACAATAATTTTTTATGTCAAAATTTAACAAAATTTTATCGAAACGTTCATCTGAATTAATTATTACTAACTGTATATAAATAATATACAAACTATCTAATTAAAGTGATGAAATCTACACTAAACTAGATTATCACAAAAGGAGAAGATTTGACATTCTAGCATTTTGGCTTTGCTTGTTGGAGCAAAACCACTTTTTGATTGCCAAAAATTTTAGCTTTCTAGCATTTTGGCATTTGATTGTTGAAGATGGTCTTAGATAACATAAATGAAAACTTTTGTTCATTGTGCGATTTAGCATATATATGAAAAAGGCATATTAACCAAAAAAATAAGTTCAAGTTGGATCATAATATTACAACCCATCTACTCTACACAATATATTATGCACTTCACTCTATATTGTTGTTGTCATGTTGCACTTTGATAGTTCTCCTTATTTCATGGAAGGGCAATTTTGCCCATTTCCCATATGTTGTCGTTCTATATACTACATTGGCTTTGAGTACTGCTGTTTGTATTTGGTTTGGGCCTCATGTTGTGTGTCATTAAAGTTTCTAATTGGATCAGCTTTTATAATCTTAAGTTTGTTTGGGCTTAATGACCGCACTAAATTTCTAAGCGTTTATTCTGGCTAAATTTGTTTGCTTTCACAAAAGTATTTTTCCAACCGATTTTTTTTGGTAATCCATTCAATGGGAACAACCCTTGGTGTACTATTTTGTACCTTAACCATTTATCAACCCTTAAAAGTTAAAATCAACCCTTGGAGATGGGCTTAAGATGGCAGGTTGGGAATGGCCAATCAGTCTCCCTCCTTCATTCTAACTGGATTCCTAGGTACCAATTAGATCCCCCTTGCTACAATCCACGAATCTTGCCTGAGGGGGGTGATCCCTTGGTAACAGAGGTTATTGGTGAGGGGGGCGGAAGGTGGTCTGATGAGAAGCTTAGTCAATGGTTTGACCCGCCCACCTGTAGGGCTATTAAAGCTATTCCTCTCCCGAGATGGGATGTGCCTGATAAGCTTATCTGGCATTTTACGGCGATGGGGTGTTTTCGGTTAAGTCGGCTTACCATTTGGCTGTCGATTTGTACAGGAGGAGGGGTGGATGGCGGTCCTCGGTTAGCTGGATGGATAAGCCGAGTTGGATTAGAGTGTGGGAGGCAAAGATCCCTCCGAATTTGAAAGTTTTTGTTTGGCAAATTCTTAATCGGGCTCTGCCAACCACAGAGGCGCTTATTGAGAAAAAGGTTCAGGTGCTACCTCGGTGTCCAGTTTGTTGGGAGGGCCCGGAGACGATGGAGCACTTGTTCCTTTATTGTCCGATGGCACAGGCACTCTGGGACTATTCATGGCTGGAATATTTGGGGGAGGGTTTGCCTCGGCACACTTTTCCTTTGTTTATTAAACGTCTGTTGGCTCTTATTCGTCAACCGTCCATGGTTATGGCTGTGATGGCCATCCTTTGGAGGGTCTGGCGATCTCGAAATTGGGTAGTCTTTGAAGGCAAGCAATTTGGGATCCCGGTTCTCATGCGCCAGTTTAACCAACAATATGAGAAATGGGTGGGCCTACCGGCGGACCAAGTTCCTAGGGTGCCGGTCCCGGTGCTGCAATCTCC